ACCAAAAAAAAGATAGCTTCACCAGGGTTACTAGTGACCTACTAGTTATATTAGATCTCTCCTCTCCTAGGTGGTAACATAATTTGACCATTATTATTATGGCCTTATGCCTCAATATTTGATCATTACTACCTCTCCGCAAGGTGTTAACCTCGCTAAGGAGACTAGAAATTTACTACTTATACTCTATCTAATTAGTGACATGGATATTTCTTGATATACATATAGGTTTCTTGACGAAATATAGCACTGGAACGCCCATTATTGCGTCTGAAGATTATTTTATGCATCACCATCAAGTTGGCATTATTAATAGCATGGTATGCAATTTCAAATGGTACCGCCCGATACGGGCGGTACGTACCGGTCTTACGGTATACCGGTATGCAGATCGCCCGTTACCGGACGGAACGTACTACAATGCTACAGTGCTACACTATAGCAGTGCTACAGTGCTACAGTAAGAGTAAGAAATATTTAAAACCGGTCGGTAACAGTGATACAGTGCTCCAACGGTCAAATTGACCGTTGAATCCTTTCTTATAGTATTTAAACCCTTCTTCTCTCCTATTTCACTCCATTACATTCTCATACTTTCTTAAACTATCTCAAACTCTTTTTTTCTCATATTTGTGCTCTTCTAAACTCTACAAAACAACGATTTATGAATTGAATCGAGGCTAATTTGAGAAGATTAAGAGGAAGAACTTTTTAATCAAGAGATATGTTTATATAAGGACAATCCGTAATGGACTGAAATACGAACCTTGCACAAGATATTCTTCAAAGCTTGAAAAAGATATGTGATACTATTCTTACCTAATTTATATTGATTTTGCTAAACTTATGCTATTACTATATTTATTTCTAACTTAAAAATCCTATCCTAACTTTTTTTTTTAATTTTCAGGTATTTTCGGAGGGTTTTACACCTAAATTAGGTGTACCGCTCAGTACGCCCTGGCGTACCGCTCGGTATACGGTATCGTACCGTACCTAGCCAACCTCGAAACACCGGTATGATACGATATTGCATATCTTAGTTAATAATACATACACATGGTTGGAAAGAGGAGCAAGTTTATGCAGTAGTATTTCCATGACGATGATCACTTTGTTTAGATTTTTGCAGATATCTCTGCGGATGAGTAATATTTATGGAAGTTTATTTTGATATTTTAATTCGTGCTATACAGATTATCATGTAAGAAGGATGCATGATCACTGATTATATTTCCAAAAGCTCATGGATATATATATTTTTTTCTGTTGTTTCAAACTGAATAGTGAAGGCTGGATTTGATCCCAAGATTTTGCTGTAATTAGTCAAGATCTTTATTAATTAAGCTAGCTAATACTTCATTTGCTATTCTAGCAGAATTTAAACCTTAATTATTCATTAAGCATTACTGCTCGTTCTCCAAGAGCAATTCCTGGAACTGCTAGATCTTTCAATTGTCAAATACCAAATTGTTAGGGTTTTTGACAATGTAAAGTCAAAAGATCTAGTTTCATGCAAATATCTATTTTCTTGTAGTCAACTGCAAACTATTTTGTTTTGAAGGTATTGCACATAATAGTTCATCATTACCTAGTTGGTGTTAAATTATAGACGAATATATAGTGGTTGATGTTCCTTTACATCTTATAGACATGTTTTTTTCATTATTGCAGGCACTAGCAGCAGCATCTAAGACTGTGGATTGCCTTAAATTGGTGCATAGTTTACATGCTATGTTTATTCTAGCTGGAGAGAATAATTGTATGTTTAATACTTTCCATGTCATTTACTGATGTTTTTGTTAAATCAGTACGATACATTATTGGTTGTTGTAATTTTTTGCATGTTTTTCTATTGCTTTTATGTTTATGGCATGTTTATGTATTGCAAAGAATTGAAGTCTATCCAAACTGGTGTTGTTAAGATAATGAAAGAATACAAAAGGGGAATAAGTCAATAAGAGAAAAAAGATGATATAATGTCAAAGAGAGTACAAAAAAACAGCATTATTTTATCCATTGTTTGATTGTTTGCCTGTGCTTGTGTGGAACGGGCTGTACACACTGGTCTGGGCGTGAATCGATTTACGGATGTTGGATTGTCCCCGTTTCAGGCGGTCCTATCTGAACCACTAAAAATATTAATAAACATACTTTGGGGCTCGTATTCATGAGCCCTCTTCGCTCAAACATGAGCCCTTTTGCTCATTTCACCTTGTGTAGTCTCCCAATCTCCCATCGTTGCCCGTCGATTAACGTGTGTTGTTGACAAGTACACCTCGTCCTCTTCTTCAACTCCTCTTCCTCTTCCTCTTTCCTCCTTTTCCTCTACCACCTCCTCTCCTTCCTCCTCTTCCTCCATTGCCTCCTACTGCACCTTTCTCTTCCTCCTCTTCCTTGTGGCCTCCTCTTCTTCCTTTCTCCTTCCTCTTCTTCCTTTCTCCTTCCTCTTCCTCCTACTTCCTCCACCGCCTATTCTTCTTCCTCCTTCCTCTTTCTATACCATCCCTTTTGACACGGGAGTGTCTAATTTGCTACAATCTGCTCATATGGATCACATACTGATAATATTATATTTTTTTCAGCCAACAATATTGCTACATAATCTTCAACTCAGCCTACTCAGATAAGACAGTCCATCAGCATATTCCCAGCACAAAGGAATACATTAATGGAGTTGGTTGGTAGCTGTAAAGCTGTATCATGATGCTTTTCTTCATGGCTAAGGAATTCATTAATGGAGTTGGTTGGCAGCTGTAAAGCACTTAATTTCGAAATTTCCTATGCATGAAGGGTTGTTTCATGCACTAGTATTTATTTTGGGGTTTAGGGCTTAGAAAAGACTTGAGAAAACTGAGGATATTGGTAGAAGCTCTCTTGGAGTGCTCTTTTGAACTCTGTATCTTTTGGATGCGTCCTTGAGTGGTGAGTCTTTTTTGCTTTCAGTTCTGTATCCTTGTTTATTATCATTAGGGTGGTGATCTTCTGTATCCCTTTTGATTTTTAAACTTGGTGGTGAGCTATATTTCGTTTTACCGAAGTTTCTTCAAGAGTTTGTTTATTGCCTTCTGTGATATTTTCTATCTGTACAACTGTTCTATTGGTGTTCTTTCGAAATCCATTCTGTATTTTTACCCTTCCC